TACCATTGAGAATCATAAAAGACTAAAGAAATAACATCTAGAACAAATCAGAACCCTCTGAGCCCCTCTTTAAAACAGGTTTTAAAATGTATAATTGGTCATTTTATTTCACTATATACATAGTTTTCATATCATAGTTAGGTTAGGATAATTGACCAGTGTGCTTCTGAACTGTTGAGGTTTCTGGATTGAGGCATATCTCTGTACTACACAATTCATGATCTATGTTCCATGTCAAGCATGTGTAGTCCTCATTTACGTGGATATATAAAAGTGCCAAAACAAAGTACAGCAAACCACTAATTCAATTACTGTGATTTTTTAAAATATGAAAACTGTAATTGAGAAATAAAAAATTAACTTTGACAAAATCTTTTTCTATGTGACTTGAAAATTGTGAGTTGCAAAAATTGTCACATGGGAGGAATATTTGGAGAATTTTAAATACTACCTTTTTAAAATTAAAAAAAAGAAAACTGTTTGAACCTGTACTTAGTTTTGTTTTCTATGTTTCATTTATGTATCTTTTTTCTCCTTTTATTCTGTCTTCATTAATAATTTGATTTCTTCCTTTTCATTTGGATTTTGAAAGTCAATTTTTTCACTTAATCTATTCTGTTTCTACTCTCTTATATAGTACTTTTAATTTTGTGTCTTTTAAAAGAATTTGTTAAGTATGAGTCTAAAATATCTATAGTTTATTCAGGCACATAATTCCAATATGCTAGGATGGCATACTTTAAAAACATTTAGCTATCACATAATAATGAACGGATTTATATTAAGGTTTATTTTTTTTTAGAAAGAGGTTCACCTTTGTAATTTTGGAATAAATTAGTTGTACTTTTAACCCAGAAATCTAGATTGAGAAATAAATACAACTATACAAGAGTATAGGTTAAGTGCTACCTGGGGTCAGGTAAATATCAAACATTGTGGAATTTTAGAGCTGGCGCGTTCTTGGTGATCATCTCATTCAGTGATTTTATTTTAGTGGAAAAATACTACGGACTAGGGACTGCTATTAAGATTGTTAAATTTGGAGAAATTCAAACTTAGTTTTAAAACTTTTAAGGAGGTGGAAAGGGTGATGATCCATGGAGGGGTGTCAGTGATCAGAAAGGAAATAAAGTAGTTTGTGACTACCTTTAAAAA